TTTTTTTTTTTTTTTTTTTTTTAGACAGGGTCTCACTTTGTACTACAGGCTGAACTCCCAGGGATTTTCCTGCCTCAGCTTCCCAAGTGCTAGAATTATAGGTGTGCACCATCCACCCCACCTGATCCAGAAAAACCACAGTTTAGAAGCCTTAAATGACACTATGGAACCAGGATGCGATTGTCACTGGAACCTTCCATCCAACCTGGTAGTAGCCATGTTCTGTACTAGGTTTTTTGTTTGTTTGTTTTTTTGTGGTACCAGGGATCGAACTTGGGCCCTTGTGCTTGCAAGGCAGGCGGCGGAACCACAGAGCCACGTCCCCAGCCCAGCGTGTTCTGTTTGAGGACATGCGGTGTGAAACACATTGGGTGACAAACAATTCAATATGTGAAGGATTTGAGTCATGCAAATTATGTTCTCTGACCACAGAAGAATTAAATTGGAAAACCACCAAATATTTGGAAGCTAAACAACACATTTCTAAATAACCTATGATTAAATAAAAAATAGAAAGGGAAAATAATTTTAAGTGAATGACAGATGACAATGCGATGTATCAGAAGTTGTGGCAATAAAGCAGAAGATGAAAACGCTATGTTGGAGGCCAGGGGTGGTGGCACACACCTGTGATCCCAGCATTTGAGAGGCTGAGGCGGGAGGATTTCTCTGAGTTCAGAGCCAGCCTGCACTATAGAGAGAGACACTGTCTCAAAAAGCAACCCAAAAAATGCTGTTAGAAAATAGAAACAGAAAGTAAATGAAGCCCACAATAAGCAGAAGAAAGGAAATCATAATGATCAGAGCAAAAGTCAGTAAGGTAGAAAACAAAACAAGACCAAGAAGAATAGGGAAAAAAGTCAAGGGAGCCAAAAGCTGATTCATTGGGAAGATCAATGAAGCTGTTAAAACTGCAGCCCAACTTTTCAGGAAAAAAAGAGAAAACACAAATTACCACTGTCAGAAATAAGAAATACCACACCTCTGCAGACTGTTCACATGTTTAAAAGGCATAAAATGTTATGCATGTCTTTGTGCCAACAAATTCAACAACTTTCGTGAATCAGACAAGTTCCTTGAAAAACAGGATCCAGGTGCACCTAAGAGGAAATAGATAAACCAGGCATAATGACACACCTGTAATCCCAGCACTCAGGAGGCTGAGGCAGGAGCATTGCCATGAGTTCAAAGCCAGCCTGAACTACTTAGCAAGACCCTGTTTTAAACAAAAGCAAAGCAAAAATACAAGAAATCTATGTGTTATCCAGAGTCACACAGTTTCTCTTGTGTTTTCTTTTTTTCAATATGGAACACTTCAGCCGGGCATGGCAGTGCACGCCTGTCATCCCAGCAATGGGGAGGCTGAGGCAGGAGGATCACTGTGAGTTCGAGACCAGCCTGGGCTACATAGTGAGTTCCAGGTCAGTCTCAACTACAGAGTGAGACCCTGTCTCAAAAAGCAACAACAACAAAAATATGGAACACTTCATGAATTTGCATGTCATTCTTTTCTTTTTTGAGACAGAGTCTTAAACTCACAGCGATCCTCCTGCTTCAGCCTACCAAGTGCTGGGATTACAGGCCTGCACAGCCGCACCCATCTTGCATGTCATCCTTGCATAGGGGACGTGCTAATCTTCTCTGTATGGCCCCAATTGTAGTATATGTGCTGCTGACATGAGCACTCTCTTCTAGGACATTTATAGTTTGTGTTTCACAGTGATACCCATGATGCATTTTGAGTTAATTTTGGCTATGGTGCCAGGCAGGAACAAGAGACTTTTTAAAAAAAAAACTTTGTTTTTAACGTGGATAATTGGTTGCTCCACAGTGTTTGTTGAAAAGCCTATCATTTCTCAAGTGCTCTGCCTTATCACCTTTGTTGAAAAGCTAGTGACCCAACCCTCATGGGTCTGTTTCCAGACTTTCTGCTGTGTGAGGCTCACCCGGTTCCCTTGACCCCGGGACCTCACGGCTCAGGTGCGGCGCCCCACGGTGGGACTGACCTCAAGCAGCGTGTGTCCTCCATCCCACAGTGCATTTGGTGCGGTGGGCAAAGCCATGTCCTCATGCATGTGGGCAGGAGCCTTCCCGCCCAGGCACACCCCAGCCCTGGCCACCCACTTCTCAGTAGCGTCTGGTTGCTACTGGAGACCTTTGCAGCGAGTCTCCTGTCCCCACCTGGCCAATGCACGGGGCAGGGTTGAAGAAAAACTGAAGACAGAGTTTTTGTTTTTGTTTGGGGGGGGTTTGTTGTTGTTGTTTTGTTTGTCTTTGAGACAGGGTCTCACTATGTAGTTGAGACTGACCTGGAACTCACTATGTAGCCCAGGCTGGTCTCGAACTCACAGCGATCCTCCTGCCTCAGCCTCCCGAGTGCTGGGATGACAGGCGTGCGCCACCACACCCAGCTAAGACAGAGTTAAAGAGAACGTGTGAGCAGGGACAGCTGGTGCTGTTCTGATGCAAAAGGGCGGGGCTCCCCCCCCCCCTATTTTTTTTTTTTTTTTTTTTTTTTTTCTGGTACCGGGGATTGAACTCGGGTCCTTGCACTTGCGAGGCGGGCCACCGAACCACTGAGCTAAATCCCCGGCCCGACCAAATCTTATTATCCATCGATCAGGGTAAGGGTGCGTGAATAGAAGTGCGGTCATGAAGTCTCCATGGAAACCAATGCAGGCACAGCTTTAAAGAGAAGTCAAAGCATTTTCAAATTAGACGCGAGACAGACAAAACACATGGCTGTAATCGTAGCGGTGTCCTTCAGGCTGTGAAGACAGCGATTGTGGCGCTGGAGTTTGGGTGTGATCCCTCTGACCTCAGCCCTGATGTCTCCTATCAGCCTGGCCTCGGCCGTGGCCGTGAGCGGGGAGGTCGTGGTGACCTGCGTGCTCCCGTGGCGCTCAGGAAGCGCTTCTGTGGGTCAGGGGCTTCAGGCAGACTCACTGTGCTGTGTCTTGGCCACGTCCGCCCCACTGTTACCCCTTAGACCTCTCTCTCTCTCACTCTCTTCCTCTTTCTTTCTTTTGAGACAGGATCTCACTATGCAGTCAAGTTGACCTTGAACTCAGCAATCCTCCTGCCTCAGCCTCCTGAATACTGGGTTGAAGGCATGTGCCACCATGTCTGGTGTAATCAGTAATATCTTACAGTTTTCAGTGTTAATGAGTTCCTCAATATTCGGCCCTTCTCATACCAAGCACCGCAATATCCCATTAGATGGATAAACTACCATTTATCTTCTCACTGTGGATGGGCATTGTATTGCTCTAGTTCTAGTTCTACTATAAATAAAGTTGCTGTACACACTGGGCATGGTAGTACGTGCCTATGACCCCAGCACTCGGGAGGCTGTGGCAGGAGGATCACTTTGAGTTTAGGGCCAGCCTGAGCTACAGACCAAGACCCTATCTTTAAAAAGCAAAATCCAAAACAAAAACAAAAGGAATTCGACAGGATGTGTCAGAGCCCAGGTGACGAATCCAGGGCCCCCAGGTGAAGGTCCTCTTGCACCCGGCAGGGCCCTGTGGGGCCAGTGCCCAGTGGCAGCCTGTGGGAAGCACTTCCCGGGTGCTCGCTGAGACCCCCACCCTGCTTCTGAGGAGGCGGCACCGTCCAGACTTCCTGTCCCTCGGCTCTCCCAGGAGGGGCTCAGCGCAGCCTGGGCTCCCAGCTTCCTCTAGCCAACCTCACAGCGGCTTCCTGTGCCAGGTGCTGCGGGACCCTCGGGGCAGGGGCGGCTGGCACGGCTGGTGTCAGCGTGGGCACTGGAGGCTCTGTCGGGGACAGCTGCCGAGGCCTCACGGGAAGTGGCCGCCGTTGACAGGAAGCCCCCGGGCTGCAGCAGATGCTCTGCCTTACTCTCTGGGGCCCCTGCAGGGCCTTGGCTGCAGAGGCAGGAAGTCTCCAGAGCTCTGCCCGACCTGGCCATGCTTATAATGGCTGTTGCCTGTGTCAGCAGGAGCCCCCATGCTGCCGGTGGGCCACTCTGTCCTGGCCCCCTTTAGCAATGGCCCTGTTGGATGAAAAAAATCAGAAGCCAGCATGGTGGCACGTGACGGTCATCCCAGGACTCTGGGAGGCTGAGGCAGGAGGATCGCAAGTTTGAGCTCAAAACAATTTTTAATTTAAAAAATTGTATTAACGTGTTTGCAGTGGACAATGATGTCCACTGCATTCACTGTGGGGAATTGGTGCACGTATGGAACATGTTTTTGTTCTTTTTTTTTTTTTTCTTTTTTTTGTACCAGGGATCAAACTCAGGTCCTTGCGCTTACAAGGCAGGCGGTGGAACCGCTGAGCCAAATTCCCAGCCCCACCTCTTTGTTCTTTTGATGTCCCCTCCTCCGTCTCTACATCTCCTTCCCATCTGCAAGACATCTCCCCCCTGCTTCCTCTCATCCACCCTTTATTTGCTCAATGTGTCTACGCTTTAAGCTTCTCACATAAAATAAACCACGTGACACTGACGCCTCTGCGTCCTGTTTATGTCACTTCACGTAATGATCAGAAGCTGCCTCCTTTCTTCTACAAATGCCTCAAGTTTATCCTTTACGGCAGAGTAGTATAAGTGCCACATTTTCTTCGTCCACTATCTGTTGATGAAAATGTAAGCAGCTTCCAAGATTTAGGTTTTTGTTTTTTCTTTTTTTAAGAGTAGGAAAATTTTATTGAGGGAAAGCAAGCTTCTGTCTAAAAGAGACAGAGGGGGACTGGAGAGTAGGTTTCCTGCTCACCTTAATTTTCAAAAATGTTTAATACGGCAATGCCATTAGGCAGGCACTAGGTGTCTTTTTTTTTTTTTTTTTTTTTTTTTTT